CGCCCACCAGGCCGTGGTCTTCGTCCGTGTAGCTCTGTAGAAGAAATGTAGGTAAGTAAACAATTGCACGACATCCTAAATCTCAGATCGCAGATAAATCACAAAGAAAAAAAGGAAGCAAGTCAATAGACATTACGCACGCAGGTCTAGAAGAGTTTTAAATTACACATTTAAACTGGTGAGGGTAATTTCATTTTGAGGTAGTACGTTGTAGTTATTTACAATTATTGTCAAACCACTGACTCCAATCGAATTCATGAAGCTTATCTAAAATATCATGCCATATTAAGGTACTCGTATGTATTTTTGGGAATCGAACCTAAGAATCAATACTCTGACAACGATACTTAGATACATTTTAGAGTATAGACTGATTAGACTGTTATAGATTTTTTTAAGAAATGATTATAGAAAATATTTCATATTATGTGAGGGAATAAATTAACTGAGAGTTTGAAGTGATAATAATAATAAATACACCTTATTGTACACTCTACACAGTAACAAGAACAAAAAAGAAATTATTGTTAAACGCTAAATATACAAAACGAACAAAAGGCAAAAGTCGAGAATAGGGATGATGACTGGGTAATGAAATCGAAATTCTATTTAGTCCGTCAGACAGATAATAAGAAAATATTAGACTCATATTTTTTATTTTTTTCCATAATCGAATAATTACAGTATTATATTGAGTTGATTGAAATGTCGCATGACGTCACTTTTGAGTAAAAATTCTACTCAAACGTGACGTATCGCGCCATTTCAACTCGATGTAGCACTGTTATTATTTAATTATGAAAGAAAATAAAAAATATGAGTCTAATATTTTCTAATTATCTGTCTGACGGACAAATAATTGAAATTTTGTCATCTAGCCTATTCCTATACGTTCTATACCCAGATTCTGCTGGCCAAACTTACCATCTGCTGGAAGTAGACGTCCCTCCTCTGCAGCAGGCGGGAGATGAGCATGGCGTGCTGGAAGTGCACGTTGTCGTCCGCCGTGCCGTGGATCAGGAAGTAGCGCTTGTCGCGGAACGCCTCCACCTGGGAGGACCAGATCGGAGGTTAAATCATCTTCATCTCCATCAATATCATTATTTTCATCAACATCATTATCTTCACCAACATCATTATCTTTATCAACACCATTATTTTCATCAATATCATTATCTTCATCAACATCATTATCTTCATGAACATTATATCTTCATCAACATCATTATTTTCATCAACACCATCATTATTATCGTTAGCTTTAACATTATCATTATCGTTATACCATCATCATCATTTTAGAGCAAGCCTGGTCAAACCCAGGCACGCGGGCCACCGACGCCACCGTGGCCCACCAAGGCAGCCGGCTTTGATTTTTAAAAAGCTGTGAACCATTTTATGCTTGGGAATTTATTAATAAGTTTAACATACCACATCTTCTGTAAGAAGCGATGACTCAGCGTACCCAGTAGGATTGTTCTGAGGTTGGTCCATGTACCGCTCTGTGTAGATAGTATCTGTAAAGCAAACAAAGTGACATTGAACGATAATATGAAACCGAAGCGTGTGGTGTTTTTTGATATACCTAATAATATTATTTATTCCTCTATTTCTACTTTAAAAATTGCTTTCTAGTAAATCAAAAATACTACTGGCAACATTAGTGACTTAAGCTGGGCCCCGATTGCGCTAATTTGTAATGTCTCCAATTAGTTCGCTCCGTTTACATTACAGCTTCGTTTAAACTAGCTGTCAAAACGACACCGCGATACGCTTTATTGTCAAAACAGCTGATGTTCGTTCGTCGTCCAGTCGCATTGCAGTTGAAAATATGTATTCACCGCAATTGGGGCACGGATATAATAAAGAAGAGGAAAGATTTGATTTCGTGTTTGTTTCTATTGAATAGGCTCCGAAACTACAGAATCAATATGGAAAATTCCAGCCAGTAGTATGACCGGCCCCGATGCAGGGCGGGGCCGTCCTACCCTACACTCACCGTAGAAGCGCCAGTCTACGACGGGCGCGACGGCAGCGACGCCGCGTACCCGCCGTACGACCAGCCCCGATGCAGGCGGGGCCGTCCTACACTACACTCACATGCAGGCGGGGCCGTCCTACACTACACTCACATGAAGAGCGGGGCCGTCCTATCCTACATTTTAATTAAGGGCAGGGCCGTCCTACCCTACACTCACATGCAGGGCGGGGCCGTTCTACACTACACTCACCGTAGAAGCGCCAGTCAGACGCGACGGCAGCGACGCCGCGTACCCGCCGTACGACCAGCCCCGAAGCAGGCGGGGCCGTCCTACTCTACATTCACATGCAGTGCGGGGTCGTCCTACCCTACACTCACATGCAGGCGGGGCCGTCCTACACTACACTCACATGAAGAGCGGGGCAGTCCTATCCTACATTTTAATTAAGGGCAGGGCCGTCCTATCCTTCACTTATGCAGGGCGGGGCCGTCCTACCCTACACTCACATGCAGGGCGGGGCCGTCCTACACTACACTCACATGCAGGGCGGGGCCGTCCTACCCTACACTCACCGTAGAAGCGCCAGTCCACGACGGGCGCGACGGCGGCGGCGCCGCGTACCCGCCGTACGACCAGCCCCGATGCAGGGCGGGGCCGTCCTGCACTTCTTCTTCTTCTTCTTCGTTGCGACACTCTTGCCAGAGTGGTCGTGGTCGTCACACCAGGTCCAGTGGCAAGTCTCACAATCCGTCGCCATTCCTCCCGCACTGCAGCCTTTCTTGTGCACTCGTGGAGTGGACCATTGAGTGCGGTTTTGATCTGGTCAGTCCAGCGCATGGGCGACCTGCCGCGCGCTCTTGTGCCCTCAACCTTCCCCTGCACGACAAGTCGTTCAACAGAAGCGACGTCTCCACGTGTTATATGGCCAAAAAAGTGAGTATACGACTTTGGTCGTCCTTCCCTACACTCACCGTAGAAGCGCCAGTCCACGACGGGCGCGACGGCGGCGGCGCATCGGAACACGTCGCCGCCCCGCGCCAGCGCAAGCGACGCGGCGTACCCGCCGTACGACCAGCCCCAGATGCACGTGCGGTTGCCGTCTACCCAGTTGAAGTTCTGCTGAAGGTATCTGTTGGAGAAAGTGCTTAGTCAGAAAAGTTCTCGAGTGAACCGATAACCACGGACTAGAAAACATACGCCCGTGTTCACAAACGATGCTTAAGTGAAGCAGCAAATCGAACGCACAGCGTTGAATAGAGCTCTGTGATTGGTTCGTGTGTGAAAATGTGTGTCCACATGCACTATGAGACCTTAGAGTAAAATTTGTAAATACGGGCGAGAGCTCTTTGTGCTTGCTTGTGCTTAGTGCTATTGGCTCCCTTAATGAACCAACGATCTTGTAAAGGAACATGGATGCTGTTAGAGTAGATCTGGTTGTTGTGGAAATCCATCGGGGAGGCTTTCGTCCAGCAGGAAGTGTCATTAGTTGAAACGAAAGTCTTTATCATAATCATGCAGGAGGACGAGCGTCTCTAATTTGCCAGAAACAAATGATCGGAAGTAATCGATCTAGCTTACACTACTGAGGAGCTTTACGCTGGCCAGACAGTTTGGATAGGACTCACTTGCCTCTTACGACATCCACTGGAAGAGTTATTCTGGTTTAACTGGTTATTCTAATCTGCTGGGTAAATCTGTTGAACTAGCTTTTACCCGCGACTTCGACCATGAATTTTGACACAGTGTAGGATTCTGTACTTCTAGCATGAACAACTTTAGTCTTCGACTCGTTTGCGAATTCGACAAAATTCGATACTCTACCTTCGAATTAAACGATAACGTGACAATTTTGATTTTTAAAATAAGTTTCGTGCAACCATTTCTCATACTAAGTTCACTTTACGACGTTCACAAGGGCGCTGTTGTAGTTTTTGTACTAAATCTTTTGATGGCGATTCAAATACGCAAACGATTCCAACTAGAAAGTTTTTCGTACTAGCCGTACTGTTTGGTAATATGTAGTAAATATACCTGGTGACAGTGATCTGGTCCTCAATTTCAACCGTTCCCAGCCTCCTGTTAACAGCGAACATGTCCTCGACGCCTCTGAGCCCAGAGCCTCGGCCGTCGATCTGGGCGACCGCGATGCCGTAGCGGCTTACTAAGGAGGATCCCCAGTCCACGTTCCAGGCTTTAGTCACCAGAGCTGTGTCGGGGCCGGCGTAGCTGAAAATTAACAATTAAATACTTATTACTCTTGACTAGCTTTCCGCCCGCGGCTTCACCCGCGTGGAATTTTGTCTGTCACAGAAAAACTTTATCGCGCGCGTCCCTGTTTCAAAAACCGGGATAAAAACTATCCTATGTTCTTTCCCGGGACTCAAACTATCTCTATGCCAAATTTCATCAAAATCGGTTGCGAGGTTTAAGCGGGAAAGCGTAACAGACAGACAGACAGACAGAGTTACTTTCGCATTTATAATATTAGTTGGGACTAGTTGGGATAAAATCATCATCATCATCATTTTAGCCACATGACGTCCACTGCTGAACATAGGCCTCCCCCAATGACTTCACATCGCACAGTTGGTAGCGGCCTGCATCCAGCGCCTTCCTGCTACCTTTATCAGGTCGTCGGTCCACCTTGTGGGTGGACGTCCCATGCTGCGTTTTCCGGTACGTGGCCTCCACTCCAGAACCTTGCTGCCCCATCGGCCGTCAGTTCTGCGTACTGTGTGCCCTGCCCATTGCCACTTCGGTTTGCTAACCCGTGAGCATAGCTCTTTCCGTCAGCAAAACTCTTCTTGGGAAGCCGTCCACGATAGGCAGAGACGGCCGGATGGTCAGAGTAAGAAATTACCAAAAAATGTATCAAAATACTCACACGTATACCAGCAGTGGGAGGTTGGTCCTGTTCAAGTAGTCGTGCATCACCTGTATTTGGACGTCGGCGCTTGGAAAGCCGTCCACGATAGGCAGAGACGGTCGGATGGTCAGAGTAAGAAATGATCAAAAAAAGATTCCAACAAATGTAATAAAAGTACTCACATGTATACCAGCATTGGGAGGTTAGTCCTGTTCAAGTAGTCGTGCGGCACCTGAATTTGCACGTCGGCGCTTGGGAAGCCGTCCACGATAGGCAGAGACGGCCGGATGGTCAGATTAAGAATTTACCAAAAAATTTATCAAAACACTCACACGTATACCAGCAGAGGTAGGTTAGTCCTGTTCAAGTAGTCGTGCGGCACCTGTATTTGGACGTCGGCGCTTGGGAAGCCGTCCACGATAGGCAGAGACGGTCGGATGGTCAGAGGAACCTCGCGGTTTGCGAGCAGAGCTGCCACCTCGGCGTTTTCCTCCCATACGCGGACGCGTTCACCGTCCTGGAATAAAAAATAAACTTGTTATAAACTGAACTAAGATGTAAATAAATAAAAGTCTAGTCACAGGTATCTTCTATCTGTACTACAGTTATACACACACCGGCAGATTTAGAGGAACGGAAAAAAAAGCATCAATATCTTCATTATTTTAGGAAAAAAATGCCTATTTATGACATTATTTTTTAATTTAATTCTAAATATGAAAAAAATAATTGCCAACAGTATATTTTTTTAATTATTTTGTTTAAATTACCCCATCAACAGTTTCGTTGAGTGTTTTGAATTGAATGAAGCTTTTGCTAATTTGGATTTCTTTTACGTGAAAGATGTTTTTTTCTGAGAATTTTGTTGTGTAAGCATTCAGTTACTTATAAGGGTTTATTATGCCCAGCTTAGCACCGTCAGAAATCATTAAGGCAGATGAAATGAGAAGTAACGGCCATGCATACAAATCGGCTGCCGTAAGACGTCGTTGATCAGTATCGACCACCCATGGCAGTAACCAACGGTACAGATTGATCATTTCTGTCGTTAGGAGGAGGGTTCAAGTCAGAAAAAGGCGTACTTCGCGACGGGATGACCGTTTTTTACAACTTCGAGTTTTCAGAAAGTCGCGGTTACCTGCTGTTCAAGCCAGAAATAACCTTAAAGACACTCGAGGAGTAAGAGTGACTGAGCCCACAGTTCACAGGAGATTTACTGAAGTTGGTATAGGGTCGTGCATACCCGAGAAAGCTCCAACTTGTGACACAGCACCGAAAAAACATATTGAACTTTTCACGTGAATATCGTGATTGGGTCTTGAACGACTGGAGGCATGATCTCTTCACTTATGAGTGCAGAGTTCTCTTAAACCAGATCGATGGAAGATAGCGAATATGGAGACACAAAGAGAACGTAACATTTAGTCTTAATTTTGAAAATATCGTGGTTTATGGAGGTAGCTTAATTCTGGTGTGGGGAAGGATTTTTTTGGGAGCTCGCACGGAGTTAGTGGTGGGTGATGGAGGAAATACGACTTCTGAATGGTACACTAGGAACATTTTAGAAGAACATGATGTGCCATTTACTCCATTTATTGTGGACTCCTTTAGTTTAATTCACGATAATGTTCGTTTTCACAGTGCTCGCTCAGTACAGGCACATCTAAACCATTTGGATATACCCATGATGCAGTGGCTGGCAAGATCCCTAGACAAGAATCCTATAGAGCATGTCTTGGACTTTCTTAAAAGATGTGTTAAACTCAGAATACCACCGGTGGTGTTGAGAAACGCGTTACTAGAGGAATGGCAGACATTGCCCCAAAATACCCTTCATATCATTAACTGCAGCATGCTCAGATGAATGGAAACCATCATCAGAGCAAGAGGGGGAAATACCCATCATTAATTCATTCATTTGGATAGTGATAAGCTACCCTAATTTTTAATCTGGCCACAATTTCTAATTTTTGTTCAAAACTGAAAAATTGAAATTTCGTTTCGATGATTTTTTATTAAATAAAAACGACTAAATATTTAAAAAATATATGTTATTTTATTTTATTTTAATTATCTCTTTATTTTGTATAATAAATATTTCATAGATCAGTAGTAATTTTCCTTATTTTCATACTTTTTTTTGCGTTCCGCTAAATCTGCCGGTGTGTGTATAATACTATGGCACTTCATGTAAGACGATTCGGTGTTCTTGAAGGTGCTATAACTTCAAGATCCGGCTCGAAGGACCAGGAGTACACTAACTTTACAACAAAATTTTATGTAATGGTCATGAAGAGGAAGAGTGCTCATTTGTATTGGGGATAGGTGATGCCGTCTCCCGCGTTGGCCGTGTGGTTCCGGCAGAGTAACATATCTCTAGAACCTCTTTATGACGAAAAAGGGAAAATTATGCGAACATCAAGCCTTCCCAAGCGATCAGACCAGCGTAGGGAGTGTGTAACAAATCCTTATATCCTCTGGTCAATTAGAGAATTCGTTGTCCTGCAGTGAAGTCTAAATGACCTGCTAATGATGATGACTTACAGAATTGTAGATGAACGTCTGCGGGATTTCAGGGCCGGCGCAGTTGATAGCGAGGCGAGCGCCATTAGCACTGAGGGTTGCCTCGTTGTACAGACACGCGGCGTCATCAGTACGAGTGATTCCGCAGGTGAAACATGAGACTCCACCAGTCGCGTTTACTGAGTAGATATACCGTTCAGCGGAATCTAGACACTAAATCCTCCTGCATTAGAAACTAAATGACCTGATATGACTTACAGAATT